TTTTCTTCAGAACAACATTGAGGTATTTTAATTGGACGTAGGAAAGACGCTGCAAGTAAGCCTCTCAGGGTCCTACCTAATGATAGTCAAGCTAAGAGTATATTTCAGGAACAACTAGGAAAACAGTTAGGCAGCCATGTATGTGATGCCCACCCTGAGTCAGCGTGGAATGATATCCGTAAAGCTGTGGAAACAGCAGTGATATCTGCTAGTACGGTAACCTGTAAGGTTAGGGAACGACACTGGATCTCAGCAGCATCTATCGCACTGATAGATGCTCGGAAACTCATCCCACAATTGTTCAGACTTGTTAAGCAAACCGGTATTAGGAAACCGACTGTTAGCGAAACACTCTTTGAGAAAGATGGACATATTATACATTCTCAATCCAGGAGATTGGATCGATGGGCAGAACACTGTAGGGATCAGTTCAACTGGTCTTCAGCCACACTTCAGTTTCCCACGATCTCCAGTCAACCTGAATGGCAAGTTAATGTAGGTCCTCCAACTCTTTATGAAGTTGAAAAAGCCATAGGAAATCTGAAACGAGGGAGAGCAGCAGGCTGTGAGAGGTTTACTCCTGAGATTTTCAAGGATGGTGGTCCAGTATTAGTAGTGAGATTAACTGAGGTCTTAGGTAGAATTTGGGAACTGGACGTAATCCCATCTGACTGGTCTCAATCACTGATTGTGCCAGTTTATAAGAAAGGACAAAAGTCCTCTTGTGACAATCACAGAGGAATCAGTTTGACAAATATAGTGTCTAAAATAGGTTCAATAATACTTCGGCGCCTAACTAAAGCTCGTGAAGAGCAGACTAGAGAAAACCAGGCTGGTTTCCGACCTGGACGTGATTGTATAGGTCAGATATTCACACTACGTCAGGTTCTAAAACACGGACACACGTTCAGACGCCCCACAATGGTAGTATTTCTCGACCTTAAGGTGGCATTCGACTCTGTTGATCGTGATGTTCTATGGCAGTGTTTGTCACTGAAAGGAGTGCCAAAGAAGTACATCAACCTTGTAAAGACTCTCTACTCTAACACAACTGGTCAAGTGAGAGCTTATGGCGAACTGTCATCAGAATTGATTACCTCAATTGGTGTTCGTCAGGGCTGTCCACTCTTTCCTTTCTTGTTCAACTTTGTCATTGACGTGCTTATAGAGATGACCATTTCCTTATCTAAATTTCCAGGGGTTGGACTTCTACCGGGAGGTTCACTTGTTGACTTAGAATATGCTGATGAAATAGTTTTATTTGGCGAAGACGCTGACAAAATGCAGAGTCTTCTGACCACTCTAAGCAACAATGCAAGCATGTTCGGGATGCGATTCTCCCCCCGAAATGCAAAATGTTGCTTCAGGATTGGGTTGCATCGACACCCGGAATAATGATAGGGAGTGAAGTAGTTGAGCGTGTCGACCTCTTCACTTATCTTGGAAGTCTCATCAACCCTTGTGGTCTGGTGTGTGACGAAATCTCAGTACGGATAAAGAAGGTTCGACTGGTTTTTGCCAACCTGTGTCATTTATGGCGTAGGCGAGATATCCGTCTGTCAACCAAAGGACGGGTTTACTGCGCAGCAGTTCGTTTCGTCATGCTTTATGGCAGTGAAACATGGCCGGTAAGAGTAGAGGATATTCGTAGACTACTAATATTTGATCATAGGTGTCTTCGAAACATTGCTCGTATATCATGGGACCATCGAGTAAGTAACACAGTTGTTAGGAAACGGGTACTAGGTAAGGATGGCAAATCAACTGATGAAGTTTCACTACTTCATCAGTTGAGATGGCTGGGACACGTGTTACGTATGCCCAACGACCGACTGCCTCGACGTGCGATGTTCAGTGGTATAGGAGTAGGTTGGAAGAAAGCTAGGGGCGGCCAGACCAAAACATTGCACAATTTCATGAAGTCACTGACAAGTGGACTGAGTCATGTCGGTAGGTGTAGACTACCTGTTTGGGTACCGCGAGATGATAGCAACCGATGGTTAGAGACCGTGAATGACATGGCTCAAAATCGTTTGCAATGGCGCAGGTGCATCCACTCTTTGTGTTCTTCCAAATTTTTATCTCCTGATTCCTCCTTGTCTCTTTTTTCTCTTCCCAAGTTTATTTCACTGTATTATACTCTTTAAGTAACATCTCCAAACACTAATCTTTCTGGTAACTGCTTATACTCTTATTACCTCTACCATTACGGGATTTGAATTGACCACTGCATCTCTGTGCTAATGTGGTGTGGCAACTCGAACTGATGTATGTACGTACGAAGTTCTACGTTGTTACTGACTAACTATTTTTCAACTTGACTAAAGAAAAACAAAGTCATCCATTGCAGGTTACAAATACACTGAGTCATTTCAACATTATTCCCTATATACATTTAGATTATTATTATTTATCCAAATGCAACCTGATACAACAGGTTACCAAAATATAGAATGCTTGATACATTTTTTATATAATCTCGGATATTTCCAGGGAGCCTAGACAAACAAGCGGTTTCACTGACAAATCATTTCCTGAACATTCGAATAAACGAACGAATCCACAAGGTAGTGCAGCAGCGTCAAGAAATTCGGTCCCGTGGTGAATCCGTACGTCATTCCTTCGTTCTTTTAAGATCCAGGAGCCTATGTGTACCACTGATTTGTAATCAGGTAGATTCTCTATACTTACTCACTCGGACATTGTCTTTTCGTCTTATTACTTCCGTAAATAACATCCCTGCCTCATAGAGGCAATGATTAGAAATTCTGTGGCAGCGACTATAAACTCGTGGTTATATAAAAGGATTTGATGAGAGAGAGAGCTAATTCTTCTTACCCTTGACTGTACTATGGTATTTGGGGGCGTTCTTACTGTAATCTGATTTAAAAAGCTACATTGATTTATTTCAAATGATCTTCAGTAATGCAAAGAAAATTCACTTAATTTGAGTATTTTTTTTCTCTCTAACAGCTGGACGACGTGATAGTTGTACTATGACTGCAGAAATACTTTCCACTTTGGCTAGTTTTCGAGAAGAAATGGGAGAGTTTGGTGATGGAAAAGTTCATTCCGATATTGTTCCTGCTAGTTCCAATTTTGGTACCCATTTCGTTCATATACCCAATCGTACCGGTGTATATAATCCAATGCATAACGATGATACCAATCCTATTAAAAATGTTGTCAAACAGAAAACTACTCATATACACAATAGTATGATACCTTCTAACTCCTCAATACATCCTACTACTACTACTACTATTACTATTACTAATAGTAATAATACTACTAGCACTACTGTTATTACTAATACTAATACTGCTGCCACTACTACTACTACTAGTAGTAATATTTATACAGTTGATCGATGTAGACTTCAAAGTGCGCATTTTATTCAAAGTCATAGTGGGGAGATTAACAACAATGGAATATTAACAAATTCTTCTACACCAACTATTTATTCTTCATGTGTACATCATGTTGGTGATAAAATTGGCATATCTATGTCACCAAATGATTATCGTCTTTTAACTGATCCTAGATTAGTAAATTATGTAACTGATAAAGAGACTGAAGCAAAAATAATCAATCAATAATTGTAATATTATTAATAATGTTCTTTTGTGAATAATAGTAATTATTCATTACATAATTAATCTATATTGTATTGCCCCCGGTGTGTGTGTATATGTGTGTGTGTGTGTTTGTGTTTATTTTTCATTTAGTGTGTATGAATTTGTTTTGATGTGTTGACAAGTTTCTTTATATTCCTATACAACAACATTAACGACAGTCTCATAATCATTAAAGTGTATCCAGCATGAATAGTTCAACAATTTTGTTTTGATTGATTAGTTGAATTAAATTTTATTGTTCATATCAACTATTCATTTATAAATGATTAATTGAATACCGCCTTACTATCCCATTCTATAGATCAAATCAAACAACATACATACACGGACACACACACACTTATTAGTTACATGCGCCAGTCGACTCTTTCTCTCTCGATATTTATACATTTGACAATTGATTAGGGTTGTTACTTCTTTGCTGAATGATTGATAAATTAATTGATTTATTCATTCACTTACACTTATTAGTATTGATACAATATACTTTCTTTTCTTTTAACTGTTTTCATTGAATGTTCTCTTTATATATATTCATCTTTGTATCTTCTTGTTATCCAATTATTTCATATAGGATGTGTTTATGTTGTTTATATTGATAATGTTATGTTGTTTTGTTAATCGATTCATTCATTATAATTTATCTGTTATTCAATATTCTTGATGACACCGGTAAAAGTATGCATATATAGGCGAACATATAAAGTATATAAGTATACACACACATATATATAATACACACAACAAGAACAACATTTTCGAGTCTATTCATGAATATTACTATTGGTGATTGTTCCTTTAATCTTGTTTATTTCTATCTCTTCGTAAAACTGCTACTTATTCTCATCTCTCTTTCTCTCTCTATCGCAATTCCCTCCTCTCTTATTTATTCTGTACTTTTCTTTCCCACCGATTCATCTCTTTACCTATCTTTATATTGACCAACTAATCGATCATTAGATTGATTGGTTTCTACTGTTCCCGGTTAACACCTACCACTTATTAGTTATTATTGTCAAGGTATTTTGTTTTGAGTATTTTTTAAAAAAAAATATTTTTTTTCTTCCTATAACCCATTAACTTTTTATTTTTGTCTCTTGGTGTTTTGAATTTTGATTGATATATTGATTTTTGTCTTGTCTCTCTATACACACATACTTCAACATTTGAATGTATCCAGTTGAATTGTTGTTGTTGTTGTGTGTATATGTGTAATATGTGTACTGGTTACTAATATTTATTCATTAGTAATTCTATTCCCGGTCATCATCTTAAAAAAAACGATCCTTTTTTCTTCTTCTTCTTCTTCATCATCATTACAACTTTCTGATCATTATTGATCATTAGTGCTAATGGATTGTTTTATATTCGATTTCTTCTATGACTATTATCAATAATATTTAATAATATAATCGATAAAATTGATGTTATTACTTCTTTATTTACTTGTTTTAACCTCTTGTCATTATTATTATTATTATTATTATTATTATTATTATTATTGTTATTATTATTATTATTATTATTATTATTATTATTATTGTTGTTATTATTATTATTATTATTATTATTATTATTATTATTATTATTGTTATTATTATTATTATTATTATTATTATTATTATTATTATTATTATTATTATTATTGTATTTCTGTACAATTCGTAGTAGTACCATTTACTATACAGATATTATTGTACTACTTTGATCAGTGATTTATTTATTCATTCATTCATTCATTTGAACGTTGACTTCTACTACTTCTCTGTGGTGGTTCTTTTTTTTGTTGTAATTTTAAAGAAAAGAAAAGAAAAATAAATACAAAATCGCACAATGTTTATGATTCATTGAATTATGTGTATATATATAAAAGTGTGTTCGTGTGTGTGTGTGTGTGTGCGTACGCATGACTGTCGGTTGTGTGTTAATAGTGCTGTACGGCTTTGTGCATACATGAGTAGATGCTTCTATGCTCTAATTGATCTTATCATCGGTATTACTGTTGTACAAGTCTTGTTGGATAGACGCTTCGTTTTTCTTTATAGAAAAAAAAGAACATCTGTAAACCATGTTTATGTAATGGACAATAATGTTCTATTATAGTTGACTAACAAAGAGAAAACAAAACCCCCCACATTACTGCTTATGGTTTCTCCTTGAATTTCGACTTTCAGATATCTTATTTCTTTTTTGTTTACTTGTGTGCGTGTTTATGTATGTCTTCCTAATTGAGTTGTCCTACTTCTATTTCAATCAATTAAATGATAGGTTGTATAAGTGTTCGGTTCTCTTTCTTTCTCTCTCTGTGTGTGTGTTGAATGGGTGACCGCTTATTTCTAATCCTTCTTCCAAGCAGTGTCGTTGTTGTTGATACTGTCAACACCATCGTCAATCTTTTTACTGCTGATCATTGTTAACCCTGGTGACGTCAGTGCACATTTTTCCTCCCATTATTATTATTATATTTGTAAAAGTGAATCTTTCATAATCATCTCATCATATATATATTGAATCAAAGTTTAATATTATTTATGTTATTACTTCTTTTAACCTACAGTAACCTACAATATATTGTCCTCTATCATCTCCTCTTTACAACAATTACTTCGTTGCCATGGTTTTTTTTTAAAAATTCATCTTCTATTTAACATTTATTGTTAACACTAAAGAAATTTATTTGTTTATAAGCATATTTATGTGTTTTGGTGCAGCACAAATAAAAAACTCCTAAGGTTAGGATATAATGTATGTATGTTGTTGTCGTCGTCGCTGTCGTCGTTTTCGATGTTTTCTTCTTCTCTTCCTCCTCCTCTCTCTTTCACACACACACATACACACACAAAGAACAACATGCACTATTTGGTTTCATTATTTAAATAATCAAAAAAAATCAACTATGATATATTTAATTACACTATTCATTGTTTCCAATTTCTCTCTCCCCCCTCTCTCTGTTTCCTGATCTTTGGTTAGTGTTCTGTCTTGTTTTGTTTCTCCTAGTGACTAGTGTGTAGTTTTATTGAAGTGCATGTGTGTATGATGAGTATGTTTTTTTTAAAATTTTAAATAAAAAAATAAAGATTTAATGTATTAAATATAATATAAATATTGATAATATTTATTAACAAAAGATAAAATTGTAATGATCATTTCTTATTAATAAGTAATATATACTTGTAAAGTTTTTGAATTAAAACGGCAAGATTATTCATAAGTTATGAGTATTCGATTATAGATATCTTCGAAGTATTGTTTGGTATATCCTGGAATCATCGAGTAAGTAATACAGTTGTTAGGAAACGGGTACTAGGTAAGGATGACAAATCAATTGATGAAGTATTGCGACTTCATCAGTTGAGATGGCTGAAACATGTGTTATGTATGCCCACCACCTACTGCCTCAATGTGTGATGTTCAATGGTATAAGAGTAGGTTGGAAGAAAGTTAGGGGAGGGCCAGATCAAAACATGGCACAAGTCCATGAAGTCATTGACAAGTAGACTGAGTCATATTGGTAGGTGTAGACTACTTGGTTGGGACCCAAGGGATGATAGCAACCGATGGTTAGAGATCTTGAATGACATGGCTTAAAATCATTTGCAATGGCGCAGGTGCATACACTCTTTGTGTTCTTCCAAATTCTAATCTTCTGAATTCTTCATGTTCCTTTCTTTTTTCTCTTTCCAAATTTATTTCCTTGTATTATACTCCTTGAATAACATCTTCAAACCCTAATCTTTCCGATTACTGCTTATACATTTACTACCTTTACCTTTATGGGATTTAAATGAACAATTGTATCTGTAGAACAATGGGAAGACGGAGTTGATCTAAAAAACATTGTGATGTATTTGCTCTATACATTTCAAACAATCTGGTCACACATATATACTTGTCAGGGCATTTTTTTAATATGAAAATTAATAAATGTCAATTAAATAAAAGTTCAGGTAAAATAATATATAATTGAGACAGGGCACAAAATTAACATTCATACAGCATTTAGAATGTTGTATAGAAATTGTCAAGGTTGAATTCTTAAGTTTACTGAAGCCTTGGCTATTCGTAAATTTACCCCGCCCTATGTGTACAAAAATAATTTGTCGTAACCTTGAATTTATCTTGGTAATCCTCAAGTCATTCTATGGTCTAGGATACCATGACAATTTCTTATTCTTTCTCTCCCCTTAGTTATTTTAATTGGACTTTTATTTGTTTGACCTTTATTAATTTTCATATAAAAAAATGCCCTGACAAGTATATGTGTGTGACCAGATTGTTCGAAATGTATAGCGCAAATACATCACAATGTTTTTAGATCAACTCTGTCTTCTCATTGTTCTATCGAAATTTATAGAAGGGACTAAGTGCTTTAAATTGTATCTGTGTGGTGATGTGGTATGACAACTCGAACTGATGTACATACATACGTACGTATGAAGTTCTACGTTGTTGCTGGCTGGCTGACTATAATTTATAGAAGAATCAATCAGGTATAAGATAACAAGTTTCGGATTTTGCCGCGAAATTCACCCATTTATTTTACTAAATAGAGTTTTGGTTTATAGCTCTCATTTTGTCCTAGTTATTAGGTGAACACTCACGATCACTTTAGCGTCGCTGAAAGATCGTCCACAAATTATAATCTCACCATTAAGACTTTGTTACAGTAATTTTGTAATTACTAACAATTGAACAAATTCTTCTATGAATAAAACTAGATCTACGCGAATTCAATAAACCAGACATGATGTACAATGTTTCATTGATAATAATTTTTCAATAGAAAAAGAGGTTAGGGATTTAGATGAAACTTAATAGTCAAAATGAGACAATTAAGTCGAATTCGTTACGTAACAGTTCTGTTTTCATGACATAACTGGAAGTGAGAATAAACAATCAAATGATTGTAATGATAATTAAAGTAGCATAGATTGAACAAATCCTATTATGGTTATTATTATTTTTTACATACCAATCATTTTCTATTCTTGTTCTCTTCTCTTCAATCTTCTTAACCTTTTTCTGCTAGGTATTCCTGAATGACATGGCTCAAAATCGTTTGCAATGGTGTGCACAGGTGCATCCTCTCTTTGTGTCCTCCCAAATTCTAACCTCCCGATTCCTCCTTGTCTCTTTTTTTTCTCTTTGAAAATTTATTTCACTGGATTATACTCCTTGAATAACATCTTCAAACCCTAGTGTTTCCGATTACTGCTTATACATTTACTACCTCTACGACTATGGGATTTGAATCGACAACTGCATCCCTGTGCTAATGTGGTATGGCAATTCGAACTGATGTACGTACGTACGGAGTTCTACTTTGTTACTGACTGCCAGGTATTCCACTTTCAATTGGTGACATATATTATTTATCTCTGTCGATATCCGTAGCACACGCATTCAGTAGATTGTATTGATAAGAAATAATGGTATAAAGACAAATGTAAAACAATCATGATAAATTTCCAACCAATTAGGAGACAACTTTTATAAATAGACAATCCTGTCAGTCGAAAAAAGAAAAACAACGACATATCAGCTCGTTCTTATGGATAAAAAACATTGTTGATCTCAAATACTGAATAGAATCCAAATAGATTGTTAAAATTTTCCACAATATCTCAAGAGGGAGTGAGGTATATAGATATATAGAGACGGTTTTGTAGTTAGGTTTTCTTCACGAATTGACATTATAGGTATAGTAGGAGTAATACTTCTTAGGTAATTCTTAGGTGAATAGATTTTAACTGATAAATATAATAGACGTCATCTGATTAGTTCTACGATAGAATGTAATGTCACATGATAACGGTTTTTTTTTGAGGATCAAGGACTTATGTTTATGATTTAGGGATAACGTAGATTTATCTGTACGTACAATCTAAAATCATAAAAGTAAGCATGCTCTACGTTTAACACTAGTCTTTACTCACAACTGATTGGTCACTGAGGTGGTGATCAATGTCATGTGTGTCTTGTCCTTATTTAGTGCAAATCGAATTCTATCGACCAATTTACAATGTGGCCACTAGGTAATTTATCTGACTATGAAGCTGGATGACACGAGATCGAATTCGCCAGGGAGCACCATTTCCCTCAAGATTACAGGTACACCTTGCTGACGAGTGTCAAGTAGCACGAAACCCGGATCCAGGGTTTCCTGTCGACTACCTCTAACCACCATCTAATCTCACTAGTCTTTACTCTATATTATCGAAGATTGAAATTTCTCTCTAATTTTTAACCATTTCAGCAATCTACAAAGGAATTCCCACTGCTCGTTATATATGATATTTGAATTTTGTGCAAAAGCATAAATGTCAAGTTCTCGATTCTGATCAGCTCTTCCTCATATTATATATACTTTCATCCATTAAATAATAATAATATGTTATATTTATTCGAACACAAATCTTGGTACAAAGGGGCACTGAATACATATGCGCCACACAAGTCACTTGATTTGTGTGTGTGTGCTGTGATACTATCTGGGCGCTTAGACCGAAGCAGGTGGTCTCCTTATAGGGCCACATCTAGAGCCTTCAAACTAATGGTCTAATCCACAATGTTAGTAGATGTAGGCCCATGGTAGCAGGGACCAATAATTGGTTCACACGCCATTTGTTTCCTCAGGATCCTGGAGCTCATGTGAACCATTGGTTTGGGACCAAGGTTTTCCAACTCCTCCTAGGACGATCTTCCATACCCACCAATTTGGTTGGAGCAACGGACATTCGCTTTTTGTATTCTCAGTTTTTTGGTGAATACCCCCTTCTCTAGAAGGCAGTAAGCTGGACTTCTCTGATCAGTGGCTGTATATGTGTGATCATTCATAAAGTTTTGTAATGAACAATAATTTGTATAAACTGTTAGTATATTCCCTCAGTGCTGGTTGACATTATAATGCTTATATCCTCATGAAAATTTTTACATGATCCCTTCAATTATACTTCCTAAACAACTTATCCCATGTTTCTAATAATAGTAATTGATATTTACCCTGGTATAACTTTTGTTAGCACTGTGTTTTGTAAATGGTTCATGAATGACATAGAAAAATAAATATGTATATACATGCTTCTCACTGAGTCATTTATCTTGTTCTGCCCCGCCCCCAAATGCTTCGGTATAGCTGACGGTGGAACGAGTCCACTCTCTCTGTCAAAATGTTCATATGGCCTTGCATATTTCAGTCACTGCCAGGGAAGTCCTACTCACCTAGATTATTTATGTTGTTTAATTTTATTGAATTTACTAAAAAAAGATTTATCATTAAATGTTTATATATATCTGTTATAACTTGTGGCCTTGTTCTTGTATCAATATATGATGTGATGATACCGCTAATTGAAGAGTAGTGAATTGTCGATCGAACCAGTGACATAAACCCGTACGAGCAGTCTAGAGTACTTATCGGTCTTGTTTCCCGCCTAGTCCAGAACACCAATCTTGGCCTCTGCGATATGAATCGTTGATTTCAAAAACACTGGGTTTATATACCAACCAAACAGACCTCATCGTACCATAAAATATGAAACAACATGTGTACAAGAATTAGCCAAATGTAGCTGTGAATAAGACAGACAGTAATTGATAGATTAGGCATAACCCAAGAATGGTAAATCGTATAGTAATAGTTCATAGGTCAAAATGAAGCACATAATAAGAGGAACATGAATGTGAATAGTTTAGTTACATAATAATTATACGATAAAATTATATGTATAGTATTAGTCCATAAATGAATCCCAAAAGTTATCATTCATTATTCTTATCGAGATATAACAATATCTTCCTTATAATGATGATAACTAGACTATAACAATGTAGTTAGTCTATCGAGTTCAGTGTAAACTGGGCGTGTGTCAAATGTAAGATTTGATGTAGTACATAAGCGTTTTTGACGTGTACGTCAACACATTCGTTTAATAGAGATAATAATTATGTGCAGAACAGAGAAATCATGGGGTTGTTGTTGACTTTCCGATCTAGTGACAATCAATGAATTAGTATGTTTCCTCATACATTTGATGTGGAATAAAGAACTGTCATCTTGCGCTGTTTGAGACATTAGTTGGGTGTAACTGTGTGATAACTTGGACATCATATTGCTACTGCTACTTCATTATGACTGCGATAAAACAGATTATTTACTACTGTATAGCAGAACAAGGGCTGATATTGGACGAT